GGTGAATCTATCACTCAATTGTTGTTGCTTCCATTAACACAGATGGGTCCTTCTACCAACCCTCATACTGGAGGCTTTGGTTCTACTCGAGTTGCTGCCTTAACTACCATCGAGCACTTGCAGCTCGGACTCCCTCTTAAAATGGGATTGCTGGTCCTTAATGGCCTGATTGACATGGGAGCTGACGTTAGCATTATAGCAAAGAAAGATTGGCCATAAAGCTATCCCACCCACCCAGTGCATGACATTCAGGGAGTTGGAGGTTATGAGCAAGCCCAGAAAAGCCTTCAGCCCATTATTCTGGAAAGTCTGATTCTCCTAGACAAATCACAATCACTCCTTACATTCTGCCTATTCCCTTTTCCATCTGGGGTTGGGGTCTCTTGAAAAAGATTGATACAAAATTGCAGACAAATTTAAAATGCAGGGCACTACACAAACCAGTGCAAGCTGGAGCTGATAAGGGTAATAATCTCAGCATCTGTGAGTTGCACCGTAACTACCAACTCTAAATGAGAAAGTGAATCCAACTGTGCATCGAAGCTTTCTTGGTTGTCACAGTTGCTGGAGTAAGCATTGCTTTGGATTCACAAGCTGGGGTCTTGATTTATTTCAGTATTCAGATATATTAGGCCAGTAGCTTCTTGATTTTAAAACCAATTTTGCCAAGTGGGTGACCACTGGTTTTTAATCTTTCAGGCTGTGTTCATTTACTTACAATTTGTGAAATCCCTGATGTAACTTGTTTACTTTCCAGGCTCCCAATTCATATTCCATAGCCCTGTATTGGCAAAACTGACAGCATGTTAAATGATTCCAGGGAGAAAGAACACAAACAGCATATGAAAAATAAAAACTGACCATTAAAAAGAAGGATTCACCTTTCAGTGTTTCTAGACTTATCACATTATTGATAGCTCAAGTCAGATAAACTGTGAGGAATGCCAGAGGTGGGTAGAGGCAGAGATCCAAGCCCTGCAACTGCTATTGAGCTGGACAGGGTTTGGATCAAAGCTTTGTAGCACACAGCCAAAGCCATCTTGCTCTGCTGCCAGAACCTAAGCAGGAATGGGAAGAAAAGCATTAACATTCTGATTTATTCTATTTATCTGATGACAAATCTATTATTTAATTTTTGGCAATTCAGATTTAATTAGATATTCCGAGTTCTACACTGTTGTTCTATTTTAAGAAATGTATTATCCTTTTAAAAATGTGATTGTTGTTTTGGAGGAAGAAGAATGCAAAATAGGTAACTAAGGAAATATTCAATTCAACAGATTTAACTCTTTGCTTATAAGACAACAAATTTAACTCTTTGCTTCTAAGCTCAGCCTGCAAGCTAGGGAACTGCTGTTTCATTTTTAAAGGCAATGTTAGAGGAATTATTATTTTCTGATAGGGCTCTGTGTGTGTGTGTGTGTGTGTGTACACATACACACACACACACACACACACACACACAGTGGTGCCTCACTTGACAACATTACTTTGTTCCAGCGAAATCGCTGTAAAGCAAAAGCATTGTCAAATGAAACAAAAAAACCCCATTGAAATGCATTGAAAACCGTTCAATGCGTTCCAATGGGCTGAATACCTGCTCGTCCAGCGAAGATCCTCCATACGGCGGCCATTTTCGGTGCCTGTAAAGCGAGGAATCTGTACTAGAAAACAGCAGGGGGCCATTTTCTTCAGCCGGTGACCATTTTGAAACCCGATGATCAGTTGTTTGCTGATCGTCGTAACACGAAAATCGGTTCCCATTTAAAACATTGTTTTGCGATCGCAAAAACCTAATCGTATAGTGATTTCCTCGTTAAGCGAGGCAATCGTTAAGCGAGGCACGACTATATCTATATCTATATATGTATGTATGTATGTGTATATATATGTGTGTGTGTGTATGTGTGTGTGTATGTGTGTGTATATATACATATATACATACATACATACATACATACACTGTCCTGTCAGAAAATAATTCCTGTAACATTGCCGCCAAAAATGAAACATACATATATATGTATGAATTGTCCTCTTGTAAGGTTTTAGCACAACAGAACAGTTCCTTTTCGTTTTGCTGACAATAGGCAACATTCCAGAATCTGAATTATCATAGTCCTTAAAGAGTAAGCAGAATATGTGTTTAAATAAAATTCCAAACAATGGGTTGGATCCAGTCTTGTTCAAAGCCTCCCAGCCCTCAGTGGCTGAAATCCTGTTGCTCAGCACAGCAATATAGGACTAGGTGATACCTTTTATTGGACCACTAAAAAATTACATAAATAGCAAGCTTTTAATGAATGAAATCCACTTCCTCAGGCTCTAAGCACACCATTATGGATGATACAGAAAAAGTGTCCAGAAATTGATGTTATATATCTGGGAGAGATGATCAATCCTTCTTGTGAGGTTTCTGCATTGAGTTTGGAATTTTTAAACCCTGGCTCTTGAGATGAAAGGGCTGCAAATTGCCCTATGATTGCTCTCCCCCCCCCATTGCTTGTTTGAAACAAAGATTTTTTTAGTTGGGAGGGGGAACAACACAAACAGTCAGCAGGTTTTAGCAAAACTTAGGGCTTATAATTCGATGAGTTCACCAGGTAAAAGTAGTCAATTGTGCCAAATTAAAAGTCAGATTAGTGGTTTTACCTGATGAGCATAATGCTCACCTGCTAGTTATCTCTGGTTGATGTAAAGAATTCTTGTGGCACATGTTGGGATTAGACAAATGCAAGAGTAGGTGATGCCTTTTATTGGATCACTTAAAAATGTAAACAAATAGCACAGCAAGTTGCACTAGAATAGGCTCATTAAATCAATGGGGATTCGGTGAGTCAACTCCTCCATATGTTCCATGGATTCAAACACATCTTTTCTAGTTGTGACTTACTGTGTTGTGCAAGTGGATTTCAACCATTAAGGCTAAAAGATAAATAAGCCCACTCCCTAAAGTTTTATGGCAAACTGACATGCCCCTCTCTGTGAGCTGACAAGAGGAGAAGCGCCTTGATTCTTCTGAGCTTGGAACCCAAGATTAGAATATATTATGCAAAGGGACCAATATTAATGAGAATGAGACAAGAGGCAAATACAAAAAAGGCTAACGAGTTTCTGCTGGTAAGAGTAAGTATTACAAAAGAAAAAAATGTTTTTTTCACTTCTATCTGCAGGTGGCTCCACAATGCTGATTTTTCTCAAAAAGTACAGCAGATTTTCTGCATCGTTCTAGTACAATACCTTTGACCAGACTGAAAACATGGTACCCTGAATGTGAGAAAACATTTGTAATTAGGGATAAGAAATCTAGCTTTTCCTTCTGATGTTTTCTCACCACATTGAGTCCTAAATACTCTTCAGGATCTTCTTATCTACCACTTTTTGTTTTGGATCTGATCATTCCCATAGAAATTCCCAAGCAAATCTGAGGATCGTGGACAAATAGCTTTTGGATCTGCATCATGCCCAAAATACAGTTAATGGACCCTCTCCACATAGATGTCTGTGGGTAAAATCAAAGCATATGAAAACATAATCTTGATTAATCGGTGGTGGCACTGGCAGATGGCCTTGCCATCTGCTTACCTGTCACTTACCTCTTGGGTTAAATTTGTAGACATCAGAGTTACCTCAGAAGTATGTATCACTCTAATGCCACAGGCCTAAGCAAAATGCATTTGCCCAGCAAATTCACTACAGGAACAGCTGCAACAGACATAGTTTTATACTGTATATATATGCCCACATCATTATACCCAGGTGCTCCTCATTGCACTAGGTATCTAGGTATCCTTACTGCCCTAGGCATCCAATATATTTCATACCCATTTGTATGGTAATTAATTCCTGTACATGCCATTTTTCAGAAATCAGTCACTATGGGTAGTGGGGAGGAGGAAAGGGGAAAGCAAATGGCAACAGAAGCCCCCTCCCCCCCAAAAAACAGAACAGCTAGTGGTGGAAGTAAACAGACTTTGAAATGAAAAGGAGAGCAACGGAAAACAGCCCATTCCGCCCCAAGCCCGCCAGGTATGCCAGGTCATTGGTAGGTGCTGCATCACTCAGCCTATTGTCTGGCAAGCAGCACAGCGCTGAGAGGGTGTGCCAGGTCCATTGAGTGCAATGCATTGGTTCCAGAGGCGCCAGTGCAACAAAGGAATTTTTAACCATCAGTATCATGGTATAACAAGTCAAATGAAGAAAATTCATTGGGGCGTTCACCTAGGTAGATTTACATCGTGACTGCAATGCATTACAACAGAGGGATGGAAAGTATCATTAGAAGTGGGTAAGATTTCCTTGGTGTGACTGCCATCTAACACTATCTGACTAAGAGGGACATTGAGTACAGTACATATACGTGTGTTCCTCACATGCCCAGTAGTTTAAACCTCCACTTATATTTGTTTCCCTATCTCTGCTTATTCAGCTTCATTGTCCATCTTTCGGAAACCATCCAGGCAGGAATAACAATCTTCTGATGGCTATTTATTTTTCAGTTTTATTTTTATAAAGGTTTATTTTAAAAGCTGTTATCAAAGCCATCAAATGGCAATGCAAATGTAAAAAAAGGCTTACACTATTATCAGATGGTGATACCTTCCTCTGGGACAAAGATGATCTATAAAGCAACTGCCATACATGGTTCTCTACACAACGCCATCCTACCTGAATTTGGCACGTAGATGGAAAACTCAAAAAGATAGTACTCAGTCAATGTTAGAAAATAACAGTGGGGTACCAGGAAGATGATGCATCAATTCCAGGCCATGTTGGCAGTCTCACCAAATATGTATATCCCTTAGCATTGTTCTTCAAGGTTATTTTCAAGAAAATAGGTGCAAGGGATGAAGAGTATGAATAAGTGTTGTCCTTTCCAAAGAGGAGTGGTATTACACCTTTTGTCTTCACTCAAACAAAGGGAAAAGATTGAAACCCACAAGAATGTATCAAGTAGGTGCACTTTATTAATAAACTATACAAAGAAGTCAATTTGCTCAGCTCTTTGCACTGTCCCGTACAGTCCATTCTATGCTCAGAGTCCAGCTGTATGTTTAGAATCCCACTGCGTTAGCAGAAAATGTGTAAAACTTTGCGGAAGTAGTTCCTAAATTCGGTGTTGAAGATAGTGTAGATGATAGGGTTGAGGGCACTGTTGACATAGCCCAGCCACGTGACTACACTGGTGACTATGCTGGGAATGTTGCATGACTCACAGAGAGCTCTAGTTATGTGGATTACAAAGAAGGGAGTCCAGCAGAAAAGGAAAGCACCTGTGAGAGAAAGACAAAGGAGAAGAAAATTAAGTGCTGACGGTTACAGGTACCTTTTGAAATCAGGGGCCAGTTATTTATTTATTTATTCATTTATTCATTCATTCATTCATTCATTCATTTTTGCTTCTCAGTAGCAAAAGAACTTAAAGTTACAAAGGCCAAAGTCTTCTGGTATGCTTTGTTCCCATAGTGGAGATTTGTTGTGTAACTTGGAGTAAACCAGGAATGAGAAATTTTGTGATCTTAAAGAGGCTCTTTGTGTAAAATTACCATCATCCCTTACCACTGGCTATACTGGCTAAGGCAAATGGGAGTTTTAGTCCAGCAACATCTGGATGGCAACACATTTCCTCGTCTCTTTTGAGTGGTTTCTACAATATGAAGCTGCAACGTCTACCTGAGTTCTTCCCACTTGAAACCATTACCCCCATAATATGGACTTCTCCTGCCCTCCCCTGCTTCCTGTTTCTGGTGCCCGACTGAAACTGTCACTGAGTGAGTAAAAACAGTGGCAGCAAACTTTTCCCTTGCATGGCTCCATGTTCAGTGTCATGCTTAAACCGAGGGTGCTTCCAGAGACAGATGGTACCTGCCACTACCAGTCAAAACTCATTGAAGAGTTCTTTTCCTTCCTGAACAGCATTTTGATGAAAGAGAAAATACAGAAGTAGCACTGAGAAAGCAATGAATTGTTACAAATCAAAGGAGACAAATCTGTTCCCCTGTAACGTTCCATAATGAAACAGACTAATTACTCAATAAAAGTCTCTGCACTCTGAGTCATTGCAATATTAGTTGGTTTCTAAGGGCATTTTTGTAACATCTTGCTCAGTGTTTACCCCTAAGGAAATGTGGCCAGGGGATGTGATGATGGCATATTAGGGCTATGTATGTATGTACACCAACACAGATTAACCTGATATTAGGCACTTTAAAAAATCTTGCCAGCAATTACAGAGTAGATTCGTCTAGATGGGTGGCATAACAGCCAAACAAACAAACTGCACATACAAGATTCTTAAGTAAGATTTCTGGGATTTCTGTCAGTGGAACAGCTTGCTTTTGCATGGAAGTTCCTAGATATATTTACCTGTTTAGTGAACTATGCTACTGAAATTTATTTCAAGAGCTCAAACAGCAAACTAAGTAATGACAATATTGTACATTTCTAGCTAAAACCTGCTTTTCTATCCACATTGGAACTTTCTCAGAAGTGTTGCTTTCGACTTGCAAATTATGCATTTTTTACAAGTAAAGTTCATTTTTACCTTCCAGTTACACTGAAATGACAACATAGGTAGGTAAAGAAAATCATGTGCTATAGTAGAAACACATACAGTATTTCAACAGTTGAGGGATTACTTCTGTCAAAAACATGATAAACATATACCGTATTTTTCCATGTATAAGATGATACTTTTCTCAAAAATCTTTAGATTAAAAATTGAGGGTCGTCTTATACATGGAAGTAAAGAGAGGGGAGGGATCAAAGCACTTTGATTCCTGCTTTTCCCCTCCACTTTTTGCAAAGAAAGTGGGGGGGGGGAGAAAGCACTTTCCTCGCAAGAAAGTGGAGGGGGAAAGCAGGAATCATCCAAGCCATTTGATTCCTGCTTTCTCCCTCCACTTTCTTCACAAAAAGTGGAGGGCGAAAGCACTTTCCTTGCAAAAAAGTGCAAGGAAGTGGAGGGGAAAAGAAAGTGGCGGGGGGGGGAAGCAGGAATCATCAAAGTACTTTTAAACAGGGATTAATGGTTCACACCCAGAAGAATTTTGTTCCTTTAAACCAAAAGCTAAGCCATTTTCAACTAGAAGAATGTACTGTACTCTCCAATTGTGAGAAGAGATTGCCTGAGGGTATATACTACGTAACTGTGCTCTGCCTTACTGAAAGAGGCACGGTGAAAGAGTTTGCTCTAACTCCCTTCTGTAGGCTGAGTGCCTTTCCACAGACAGGTACTGTTTACTGCTCAACAGGAGAGACTTGGGTTACAACTTTAACTAATACTTCACGAAGTTTATGTATTTAGTTCTGCAATTAGCAGAGAAGTAAATTATGGTGAAGGAAGAAGTGGGTGGGGGGGAAGCCCTTAAACTAATGACTACAGGGAAGAAAGATTTTAAAGACCTGAGGGCCCATTATATGGCCAATTAGTTTGTTCTAAACAGACCTGATCAAAGAACAAGACACATTGTGTGTTTAAAAGAAAAAGAAGGAGGCAGGCTTCAGGCACAACCTGTCCCTTTCGTAATTTCAAATACTTCTGGCAATAATGGGTTCCCTCTTTGCTATTTTCTCCTTTCCCCCTTATGTTCATTTTTCTAGCAAAAGTTTATGCAAAGCTACTGAAAAAAACATTACAGATTCACATTAAAACCACATGCTCCCATCAGAGGAAAGTTAAAAGGCATAGATTTCATAGAAGAAAAAGGACAAAGAGCTAAGGTCACTCATCACAATATGGCTGCTACATAGAGGCTAGTCAAAAGTGCTTCTGTGCAGTAGGTTTTCCCTCCTGCAAGCAGTTTCAAGTACCAATATGATGCTTAGCTAATGAAATACAATTAGTGGTGGAGGGGCAGAGAAAAATCCATAAGGTCCAGCATGGATTGCAGGCAGGTGCATGCGAAACAGTTTGCTGCATGGAACAGATTCTACATGGAAGTGCCCACAAAGCAAAGGTGTTGGGAGAGGTGGGCCATAGATATGGCCCAGAGAGACCTGTTTTTAAAAGATCTGACTGAATAGCACAAGAAACAGGAATAATATAGCTGCTCACATAGCTGGTATACACTTGACATAGCAAAGTAAAAAACTATTAAAACTGACAGGAATAATATAGCTGGTCTCACATAGCTGGTATACACTTGACATAGCAAAGTAAAAAAAACTATAAAACTGACAGAGATAGCGGAATTTTACCAGGATTTTTCCCAGGTGGTGATAACCGGTAGAGTTCCCAGTGAAGTGCAGTCACAGTCAGCAAACACTCTTGTAGCAGAAATACTTGGTTTATATGCAGAATATTTACAGATATTTACAGTTTCAGTCCTTGTTCTATACACAGCAGTTTCACAGTCACAGAGCCTTAAATCAGTGTCACAGTCCAGTAAATAGTCATATACCATATAGTCAGTCCGTTCTGCCAGAGTTCCACTCTCCAAGCACGTAGGTACAGCTTCCTCTGAACTCTCAGGCACGGCTGCACGGCTACAGCACTTCACATCAACACAGCATCAACAACCCAACAGCAACCCACACTGTTGTATTCTAGGTCTCCCAGTTATATACCAATCCTGGTATGTTCTGGTAAATTCTTACTCAGCTGTTCATGCTTTCTGCTTAGCTTCTCTCTAGCTCTGGTCCTTACAAATACTTACTGCTGGTACAAACTGCATTTAACAATTTCAGGTTTATCCAAACCCTGTCAATCTCCTCCAAATTGTTAAATGCTTTACATATACTTTTAAATTGTTTTTCATCATTATTATGCATGTTACAGTACATTTCCACACTTTCACATTCACTTTTATGCATTTCATTGCATATCTTTTCATTTCACTTTATTCCCAACACTTTTATGTGCATTTTCATGTACCTTGAGCCTTTTCAGATACTTTTTCTCCTTCTCCAATGCTTTGTT